GCTGCCACAGCATAGACAGAAAGGAATAGCTCTTATGCAGTCTGAATGGTTGCATCATCTCTTGCTTTAGTACTGTTTCTCAATTTATTAATCTTGGTTCAGAGGGGCAGCTGAGTTAGTCTGTAACAAGAAAAGGTTAAAAAACAACAAATATACCAGTAGCACCTTAAGGACTAACAAAACATGTAGATGGTATCAGGAGCTTTAGTCTGAAGTGAGCTGTGCCCACGAAAGCTCATGATACCGTCTACATGTTTTGTTAGTCTTTAACCTGCTATTAATCTATTTGTTGTTTTTTAAGTTTTTCCTATTAATATTGAATTAGAATAGACCAGATGTTCTCAAACTGAGGGACAATGGAATGCGTTCTGCAGGACATGAAAAAAAAATTAGGAGCAAAAATCTTACTGTACACATTTTGATCCAGGCAACTAGAGAGCAGCAACTACTGGCCAGGTGGCCCAGCTCTGAATGCAGTTCCACTGCCAGGAGTAGTGCAGAAATAAGGGACAGCAATACCATTCCATGACACCTGTACTTCCTCACTGCTGCTGGTGGCAATGCTGCCTTCAGACCTGGGTGACCAGCAAGCAACCACTGCTCTCTGCTCTGCCTTCAGAGCTGGCCAGCGGCTGCCTAGGACGGGGGAGGAGACAAACTACTACAGGCACAAAGATAGGAACATGATTAAATAAGTTGCAGAACTGCCGGAACAGACAAAGATTCCCATCTAGGTGATTTTATCTTTACCAATCTAAATAAATGTTCACAATTGAAAACTTCATTTACATGAAAAATGGAGAGTAACAACTCCACGGTAATGTGTTAGCTTCACAGTTCAGAGCATCTTCTCACTACATTCTTCAGTAGCAAACTGTCCATGGTTTCAGTCTCCAAAACAATTAGCAGTCATTGACTGACATGCTATAGAGTTTCCCATTATTACTGTAACCGGTGAGAGACTATGTACTGTGGATAGGTATGTTGCACAATGGATCCATTTGCTCAATCCACAGAGCTTGGAAACTAAAGTGATATCACAATGGAGAATTGCATGGACTCTATCCTGCTGGCTGAAAATAGAATGTCCTCTCCATGCACAAGCAATTCTTAGGTGGAATGTAATTCTAGATTAGGTTCATGTGGGAAGAGAATGCGGACTGCAAAGAAGAAAGTTGCAGGCTCACATTATGTCATGCTTAGAAGATAGCTCAGTTGACCTCTGTTCTTGCTTTGTGCATCACATGCTCTGACCCCCAACAGAACAATATAGTCAAAAAGTTCATTCACAAGCCTCTGAATATAAAAAATAAGAACAACACAAAGCATAAACACATAAACCTATGGGACAGACTGTCCACTGGTTAAATTACCCTTATCCCCATTCACTTTAACAGAGCTATGGTGATTTACAGCAGCTGAGGCTCTGCCCCCCTAATTTGTTTACCTTACTTTTGCCACCCTATAATTATCTCATCAAGTTTAGCTGTTGATATTCCCATAATTCTCAATTCAATCAATCCAGCTATTTCTGGGCCACACAGTGTACCTCGAAAAAGAACTTTGAAACTTCCCTACATAAAAACAGCTCAGAGTAAATGTAATGGCAAAATTATTCAGACAAATCAAACTATTTTAATCCCTTTGATATTTTATATGGAGTTATGCAAAGTTACAAATTTTCCGTGCATCTAATTTAGGACTAGAATATGGAAGAAGGGTGCACAACAGGTTTTCAGATCAAAACAAAGGTCACAGAATTCTACCATGTAGTCTCAGAAGTCTTAAAGGTCTTACAGATCAAAACAAAGGTCACATAGCTCTACTAGGTAGTCTCAGAAGTCTTAAAGGTCTTACTAAACAGATAAAAAGACAGCGGACAACAAACAACCCTGTTATACAAGCATTTATATGAGCTCTGAAAAACTGGCTTAAAATCAATTCTAAGTATTTCCCTTTGTATCACCTCAGAAACGATATTTTCTTAATGAAGGACAAAAAAGTAATAATAATAAAAGACAGTAATAAAAACAGCTACAAGCTTAAAAATCTGTACAAGGCCAGATTCAACAAGTTGACAAATAGCTCACCTAGACTCTGATAACAGCTGAAATCTATTTGTGAGTCACTTAAAATTTATATACAAAAATGGGAAATTGCTGTGAGCCTGGAATGGTGAGATAATAACTGATTTTGATTCAGGTATATGAATAAAATGAAGAGCTCTCTGCTGAAGTTAAACACAAATTAATATTTTACACTATCAACACGGAAAAAAATCACCTCCGAGAAACTAAATCAATTGTCACGGGCTCAAAGTTGAAGCCCTTTTTGTACAAATGTTCTAAGACTGTTCTAAAATGCAAAAGGGCCTGGACATCAGTATATAAAAGGTATGTGCCTGAGTTTCCATTCTGTATACTGTAACTCCACCAAAATAAATGGCCTGGAATGGAGATTCAGGAGCCTACGTGACATAATTAACAGTGAGCTTTGGATTTCAAAACATGTGCAAGTCTGAGAATGTTCAGCTCTAAAGTGGCCCATCCCTTTGTAAAGATAAGGCCCATTTTAAACAAACGGGGTGATATCCTGAGCCCATCGAAGACAATGGCAGGACTCCCATTGACTTCACTGTGGTCAGGATTTCATCCTTTGGCCTTTTATATAAATGGGAAATGACCGGACATGGCTGAAGAGCTATCAGATGTGGAAGGCCACCTCCCTGGAATCCTTCAACCAGATTGCTATCAAAGTTTAGGATTGGAAAAAAAGCTGTGGTGGGGAGGTGCGTCATCATCCAGGTGAGCAAGGCCATTAAGTGTGTCCTGAGGCAGTGCGCAGGGAATAACAAGATTCACCACAATGGGCTTCCACAACTGTAGAGGTGCAGCACATAGGACATTTATCCCAATTCTTCCTTCTCAGGTTATTTTGCCAGCAGGGCATGCAATGGTCCAATTTGCATCACGTTGTCAGGGCAACATGAGCGTAACCGGCTGACTTCCTAGCCTGCTGTGGAAAATGAAGTTAAGGCATGTAAATGTAGAATTCAGTTGTCCGCTAAATTGTGGAATGGGGATCAGGGCCCGGGGTAGCCGAAGGCTGGGATGACTGCAGCAAAGGCAGGTATCTGGGAGCAACAGTGCTCGCTGAGCGTCCTGCAGGCAGCTGCAGCTAAACCACTGTTCCCAGCTGGCAGAACCCAGAAGCCCAGACAAGAGGTGCCACAGCAGAAGGTAGCCTGTCCTGGGACCTGAAGCCCAGCCATGCAGATGGAGGTGGGAGCAGGACTCCCTGCATGGCTCAGGAGAAGGTCTGAGTGGAATGTGGTGCTTAGGCCATGTATTGAGTCTCCAGGGGTAGCAAGAAGGCTGGAGTGCCCCCTGCAGGCCCAGAGAGACAAAGCAGTATCTGCTATCACCTGTGCAGTCACATGTACTGCACTGTGTACTGCATGGGGACTGAAAAGATAACTGTCATCCTCTGCGTGCTAGCCCTAGTCCAATACTTCTTGTCCTCAGGAGTCAGCATCAAGGTGAAATTCTACCTGTTGCTTGTGCCCTCTTCTGGCAACTTCAGGGCCATGATTGTACTGAGCTGCCAGCTGTATCTAGAGGAGAAGGCCACCAAGCCCTATGAAAGCAGTATGCCCTGAGTACCTGAAGCAGCAGCTAGGCTCTTTGTTAAATGTCCATGTCCTGTTGCACACCCTTCTAAAAATGTCACGGGTGAATCACAGCCATTCTTGTTGTATAGTGAAATTAAGAAGGGGCACTATGGCCAGCTTTGCTGGTGTCTTGCTTGAGACATATAACATAAGAACGTCCGTGCTAGGTCAGGTCCATCTAGCCCAATACCCAGTCTCCTAACAGTGGCCAAGGCCAGGTGCCCTAAAGGGAATGAAGAGAACAGGTAATTATCAATTGATCCCTTCCCTGTCACCTTTCCTAGCCTCTGACAAACAGGCTAGGGACACAATATCTACCCATCCTGGCTAATAAGCATTCTTTTTTGGATCCTGTTAAAGGTCTGGTCTTCACAACATCCTCTGGCAAGGAGTGCCACAGGTTGACTGTGCATTGCATAAAGAAATACTTTCTTTTGTTTGTTTTAAACCTGCTACCTATTAATTTCATTTTGTGATCCCCTAGTTCTTATGTTATGGAAACAAGTAAGTAACTTTTCCTTATTCACTTTCTCTACACCAGTCATGATTTTATACAACTCTATCATACCGCCCCCTTAGTCTTCTCTTTTCTAAGCTGTAAAGTCCCAGTCCCCTCTCCCCCCCCCCCTTCATATAACAGTCATTAACAAACCCATAATCATTTTTGTTGCCTTTTTCTGAACTTTTTCCAATGCTAAGAATTGTTCACACATTGCTACTGGGGTCTAAGTGTGTGTTCTGCTTCAACACATTTAAAAGCATCAGGGTTTGCAGTTTGAAGAATGGCATTGTGCCTTAGTGCAGTTTTTGATGTATGGTTTAATTCTTTCACATTTCCTTTTGGTCCTGCTTTTCTTTTCCAATGAACATTCTCCAATTCCTGGCTTTTTGTGAACCAGTGCCAAAGTATAGCCTATGAAGGATTCGCTTTGGACTTGGGCTCCCAAATTGGTGAACCAAAGCACTGCCTTGTGCATGTTCGCATTGCATGTTCAACTTTATTCAGGTAGCCTGAATGACCACTTACTGCATTGCATATTTGAAATTTGTTATTAATTATTTATTAATTTAAGTTGAATGCACAGGAATCCATTTCTTTTCACATTTGCAATTAATGCACTGATTTATGTAGGTAGAAATTTGATTTGGTTGTCCCCCAGACAAAATCTAGAAACGTTCATGATCTTTAAATCTTTAGTTTCCTCCTATTTTTACAAACAACACACGCTTTTGAAATATCCTGGTTACTTGACAAGGAGCATTGCCAATTGTTCTGGAATCTCCATGAATTAAAGATTAATCTTCAATTAAATTATGCCTTGTGATGAAACCTCCAGGAATACATCCACCCAAAACTGGCAGCCCTATTCACAAAGCAATCCCTGTGTCTTCTGTCTTTACACTTTTTGGAAGGGGGAGGGTTATGGGGTGGAGTTTCAGGGACCATGAAGAGAGAGAAAAGGGAAAGAAGTAAGTATTAGTACACCTACATGAACGCCCCTACCCTCTTCCTCTTTGGATTCCTTCTGGGTTCATCTGGGTCAGCCCTTGCTGTATCTCAAAAGCACTTGGCTCTCTCTCAGGCTGTCCTCTACAAGCTCAGCATCATTGGGAACTATTGATGTTCTTTCCTCCGGTCATGAGGTACCCACTGTTAGAGGTACTCTAATTTTATAATGTTGAGCTGTTCATAACAGTTTTAGTGCCATTGTTGTGTACAGAATTTTGGTAAATTGCACACTTAAAATGGTGATTGTCATCAGTGACTGGAAAACAAAATGGAGATTACCATGAGAACTCTGTGGAAAGATCTGAACTTGTTTCCCACCAGAAGTCTTTGCGCTCGTTACCAACTTATGCATGTGGCACGCAAAAGCTGTGCACAAGGCACGAAGAGGCTTGCTCCAGGCACGTAGATCCTTTGCACCCAGCCCGAAATTGTGCATATCCCCTTACACAAGTTTTCCCGCCAAAGGTTCTACAAAAGCACTGCACCCAAGGGAGGGTGTGGTCAGTGTTCTGTCTGTGTCTGTGAGACAGCGTGTCAAAAAGGGAGCATCTACACCATTGAGGGCCCACTTCCCTGTATCGAAGGATCAGGATCCAGTGACGGTTACCCTTCAAGAGTAGCATTCCAGCCTGACAGTCCCACAGAAGGAAAAGGCATAGGGATCATTCACAACTGCGGTGGGTTCCCAAATCACGCTGTGGCGAAGGCTCAGCACCAGTGATCTGGGATACACCAAGCAGAGGTGTTTGATCTCTACCCGCATTGGACCATAACATTGTCAACATCCCTGAAAAACTCCGTTGTGGTGAAAGCCCAACGAGAATCATACTAGAACTGTACCACCATTCATCATCAGCCTTGGCTCCTGTGGCAACAGCCTAGGATTCCACCGAGGGCAATTGATCCATCTGCGAGGGATCACTTGTGGTTCCTCCCTGAGGGCTAACCTGAGCCCAAAGGTAGAAGGTCGCAAGCACCAGTACCACCATCAGCGACACAGAGACTTTTGTAACGTATAAATATCTTACCTATATTGGGGATCTTTCTGTCTTTGTTCTCTTCTGTTTTGGGGTGGGGGTTGGATTTGTTGGTTGTTGTTCTTGTTCATGCACTTGTCAATTTAAATTCTTACAATATATTAGCGAACTTTAATCTGGAATCCAAGCGTGTTTCTTTTGGGGAGAAAACACCGGTGATCAGAAACAGTGTCAGGGGGCTCCCTTCTGGTAACCAGAACATTTAACATCAATCAGATCCCTTACCCTAAATTCTAAATTAATTCAAAAGATTCTGCTTGTTACTAAGACTCTGGGGTAACAGATTTGGCAACCGCGGAAGGACCTGACAGGATTTTTCCTACTCGGGTCCAGAGGCACCACCTAGACTTATATCAGCCTTTCCTGACCGTGCATGAAACAACAGAATAACATCATTTACGGTCCAGTATCTCAGGGAGGGATTGGATTTTCTCTTTCCCCAATATTTTCACTCCACCCCACTGTGTAAAATCCAGTTTTTGTGTTTGTGTGTGTGTGTGTCTAAGGGAGCTTGGGGACACCCAGCCCCAGCATACACCACCAGTAACAGAGCGGTGTTTCCCCCATCGGGTCTGTTAGGAGCAGAGCTTCCTTCTCCCTAGCACAGGCTGGAGCATACAGGTGAGGCCTTGGCCTATCCTGTGGGTTGTGGGCCTGACAGAGTGTCACTCGCTTGAAACCTGTTCCTGTTTTATTATCACTGCTACTCTACCCTGTGTTGTTGGTGGGATCTATTGTAATTGGGCCCTGCTGCTGCTGCCGGCCCAAGCCAGATCTCCACCAGAAAAACTTGAGGCAGGCTTTGGTTCAAGCCTAGCCTCTGCTAACCCCTCTTTTGGTTAAGGAGTTGGGTAAGCAACTCTGTAACTTTTGTTTCCACAATGACATCAAAAGACAAGCAGTTTAACCTCCAAGGTTGGACACTCCTGATAAATAAAAACTCTTTGGAGTCAGCAATCAATTCATGGGTGATGTTAGTATCTCTGCCAAGTATAGCATCCAGCACCAGATAGAAGCAGCAGGTATGGGGGGGAGCAGATTTGTTATGGCCCTCCCTTGCTTTCTGGCAGGACTGCCATCATTCATTCCCCTTCTCCTGTCATTACTGATCAGCCCGTGATACTCCAGCTGCTGTGTGCCTTCTGCAATGTCCAGCTAGACATCAGTATTTCTATGGCTGGTCTGCAGCTGGGCTTGCTCTGCTCAATCTCCCAAGAAGGTGAAAAAATCCAAGACATTTTCAGGGACCAAGCTGCAGTGTAATTTTGTGTGGAGCCATACCTATGTGTTCACAATGGAGGATAATAGACATTTCAAAAACATGCTGGGAAATCTAAACAGGGCAGGGAAGCCTTCCACCTAGGGACAAGGTCCCAAAATTGTAACCAGAACACAGTTGCTGTGTGAGGACTTGACAACTGTGAGACTGTTCTTGGAGGACTGTTGTAGTGACATAAGCAGTGCAGCATCCACACTGGCCTTGTACCAGTAAACAGGGTATATTATTCAGAGAAGAGGGGCTCAGCCACCAACAGAAAGTAAGGGTCTTACCAGAAGTCCACAAAATTGTGTGTGGACATACATAGAGGGGTGCCAAATGAAATGAAACAGGCTGCAGAAACCACACAGGGTTTGTCTATGCTGATGTTGGAGATAGATTTGCAGCCTGTGGACCTAAAATAACTTTAATCTAATACATTTCAGAGGGGTAGCCGTGTTAGTCTGTAACTTTACAAACAACAAGTAGTCCTGTGGCACTTTTGAGATTAACAAAAATACTACACAAGTCCCCTGTGAACAAGTATGCTCTGTTGGGATACAACTGAGAGTATCTAATTCAGGATGACTTACGTAGAAGTTTTCTTTTTGACTCATTTGGCATACCTAATATGGAGGAACCCCATTCTTGGGCGATGGCAGCCCTATTTCTGACTGACCACACTAGCTAACAAGTCATACAAGCAATTCCCTCAGACACTCAAGTTCCCCTGTATTGCCACCTTAGAGGAATGAGTGGTTATGAAATCCATCTCAACCAATAAAAGGTTCTTCCAATTCCAAAGGACCAGACACATGCCCAGGTCAATTTATAATTCAGATCTTACCTCAAAGTCACTCTGATGCCAGTCGGGTACGTACCTAAAATATAAAGGTTTATTCATAAAAGAAAGAGATGTGAAAGTTGAAATTGGTAAAGGAATCAAATATATACAAGAATTGCCAAGTTCTTGGTTCAGGCTTGTAGCAGAGATGAAAAACTGACGGCTTAAGCTGATTCTCTGAAGTACTCCCACAGCTTTGATGGGTACTTCTGTCCTTTGTTTGGAGCTTCAGTTTGTAGCAAAGTTCCTGCAGAGGTAAGAAGCAGAATTGCAGACAAAATGAAGGGTTTCCAGGACCATTTATATCTTCTGCCATGTAGACGGAATCCCTTGGTCCTTGCTGTGGAAAAGTAAAGTAACAAAATGGTGTTTGGAGTCACATGGGCAAGTAATCTGTCCATGCATGACTCCGTTCTTTGCAGGTGAACCCCACTGCCCAAATTTTTTCTCCTCACTGAATAGTGTGTATGAAAGGGAATCATTCATACACAAATATAGAGGTCACTTAGTTTGATTCATATGTAGCTTCTGCTTTGTCATTGTATCACTTTGCCTTTTCTAAATCAATATATATTCACTGTTCTCTCTGAAAATGAAAGGGAGTTAATTACTTTAAAAGCCTTCAGGAAAGCAGATAAGCTATTTGTCAATAATCTGAGTGTCAAAGTTCACTGGCTTTACTATAAACCTGTGTGTACACAATCCAATCCGTACATGCTAAAAACACTGTTTTCTCAATTAGAAATGCAAAACAAAATGACAGTATTCAAAAGAAGAAACAGCTTTTTTTTCCTTCAATTTTACATGGGGCTGGTTCTGGAAAATTATTTTAGTCATTCCTGAGGAATTAAAGACTACAGGTATAAACTTACCAATCACATTGGATCTGTTTGTGTTACCCTTTATGGGTCCAAGCTGCTGAGACGCACAATTCCTGGGTTCTGTTCCAGGTTGTGAGTGGAAGTGTAATGTTTTAAGTATTTTTGTTATGAGTATTGCCATCTGGTGGTCATTGTAAAAACAGTTATGTTCTGGCAGAAGCCTCAAGATTGTATTGAGCATGTTCCAGGGGTCTGGGCCAGGAGGTGAAAAGTTTTTTTTTCCCTCCAAGATGGAGTCAGTACTAGAATAAAAGTTATTTTTTGGTTCTAATCTGTCCAGGTCTCCATATATTACATTGGTAGCAGGGAGAAACCGAAAACAACCACCAGCAAGTTCCACACCATGCCAATAGTGCCCCTCTGCTATATATTTTGGTCAATCTGGACGTTCTCTGCAGGAAAGAATCAATGGACACAAATCGGATATACGTAAAGGGAATACTCAGAAACCCGCAGGAGAACATTTCTGCTTGCCTAACCATACTCTAACAGATCTGCAGGTGACGGTCTTGTCACAGGCCAGCTCCACAATCCAAATACACAGGATAAACCTGAAATTACATTACATACACAAATTCAATTCACAGGCTACTGGGCTTAATCGAGATTTGGGATGGTGGGGACTTTATCACTGAGGTGCTAACAGCTTTCTGAATGGTATCCTTCCTGCCTCAGCAAGCTATCTACTGACTTTGATTTTTATCTGCTTTGGTCTAATACTCATTCTCCAGCAAACAGGAAGGGGGGTGAGAGACAGGGCATCTTTCTCTACCCCCCACCCTTCCCTTCTCCTATTTATTTCGAGTTTTTATATCCAGTACTCATAACTCCAGTCATCTGAAGAAGTGGACTGTGCCCATGAAAGCTCATGATACCATCTACATGTTTTGTTAGTCTATAAAGTGCTACCAGAACATTTGGTTTTTTGTGTGTAAGTGATGACCTCTTTTCACAGTAGAATGGCTGGATATGGAAAAATGGAAGAATATGATGCCAGTGAGGGAGGGGGCGAGGATCAGTACAGGCAGTCCCCGGGTTACGTACAAGATAGGGACTGTAGGTCTGTTCTTAAGTTGAATCTGTATGTAAGTCGGAACTGGCATCCAGATTCAGCCGCTGCTAAAACTGACCAGCGGCTGACTACAGGAAGCCCGAGGCAGAGTTGCTCTGCCCTGGGCTTCCTGGAATCAGCC